TGGGCTAAAACGAATTATACCACCGATTATAATCCGCGGTCCTCCTCTTTCTCAAGCAACAAGCTAATGGTGTCAATATGATGATAAATAACTTACTATAGCTTACTACCTAGGTGGCACGTATTTTTTTTATGTTTATATACATTTATATTTTATTTTTTATGTAATGTCTTTTGATATCAAAATGTACAATAAAATATTTTAATGTACAGAGTACATAATCACAACTATAGAGATTGAGTAAAATTTTCCAACTATACTTCTAATTTGAGATTTTATATAAGATTTAAGTAGGCTAAAACGAATTAGCCCGTAAAGGCCCTCCATCATCCTCACTGATTATAATTAGCGATCCTTTTTTGTTTCAAATAACAAGCTAATGCCGTCAATATGATGACAAATGACGTTAACTTGTTACCTGGATGGTATGTATTTTTTACGTTTATATAAATTTATATATTAATTTTTATATAATGTAATTTGATATTAAAATGTACAATAAAAAGTTTCAATACAAGCGATTTGCGGCCACGTGGTGTTATATGAACCGAAAATTGTAAGATTCACACTAATATTATATGGAAACACCAAGATCCACTTTGTATCGTTGTTGGCGTTTTAAGATCTCAATTGATAGTTAACTTTTCACGGTCTTTCCTGATACTCAATTATATATATAATGTTTTTTTACTGTGTAATTACTTGATATAATAATAAAATATATACATTCAAAATTTCAACAATTTGCTTATAAATTTCAAATAACTAATATACTTCGCAATTCTGCAATACATTAATACATCAACATAACGAACTTTATTGTGAGTTCGAGCGTAAGCAATAAATTGACAGATAATTAGTATTCCAGAATTAATTATTAAGCCTAATCTCTAGTCTTTCCATTTTATAGAGTAATGGATTTGTGAAAATTTGTGTTTATCTCTAGTGTTATTATATGTATAAATATAATACATAAATACAATTGTAATATATATATTACATTTAAGTGTTTTTAACACAATATAATTGAGAAAAAGCCAATGAATGTCATAGCAGGATCTTGGTGCTTCTAATATTTCTATGTGAATTTTACATACATATTCTAGTTTCTCAAAACTACGTAGCCGTTACTTTCGGTTTTAATGCAGTTTTTTGCTTGAAACAGACTAGTATTATCACGTTATTAAATTGATAGGCAATTTAATGCTGATGCTCACCGGCATCTAAAATCCCTCCTCTCTCGCGACGCAAATTGAGAAATTAGAATATGTATGTATGTAAAATTCATATGTATTCTATACTGTAAATTTGTATATACACATTATCTGTGCTAGATTCACAAATAAAATTTGTGCATATCCGTGCTACTAGAGCTAACGTGTTAACGTATCTTTCACTCCTGCCAGCTCTGGTAGCACGCACACATTTTATTTGTGGATGTAGCACGGACTCAATCCACATCCATTTTCGACGTTATGATTTTATCAACAATGTCAAAAAATGGATGTATATAGCTATATAATAGCCATTTAAAATGGATGATTGGTGCTAGTTTACGGGGGGTTCTGACGATCCCACATAAAAGGCTGATAGCTGCTCTTATGCTTCTCTCTGGTAAAAACGAGTTAATAATATTTCTTAATAACAAAAAGAAATTGTTGTACAGGTACAAATATTCTCTGTGCTCAATATAACAAAATAAAAATGCGTAATCTTCTTTGTAATAATAATTTTTTAATCGAGCGAGAAGAATATTTGATGGAGATTTCATAAATTTAAGTATTACTTCATGTTCGATCTATCGTAAATTCAATTAAGCTTAACGTTTGGAGATTATAAATAGAATAAATAGATAGTTAAGACTGTTACTTGTTGTAGATAACGCTAATAAATAATATTTATATCTCTATATTTTGATGATAGTAAAGTTATTATTTGATGTATGTATAAATATTTTATTAATGTATGTTTCTATTATCATCTTTTGGTCATTTAACTTTTTCAATTCAATGTTAACTAACTATAACAGCTCAAATATTACTAATTTGTACAGAATTATTATTAAAAATATTTTTTTCTTCTAAATAATTTTTATAGAATCTTAAAAGATGACAAATTTTATAATAAATTTTTTTTTAAAGTAGTCGCTTAACTTTCTAGTAAGCAAAATGTCTCTTTTATTTACTATAAAACTTAACAAACTTTATTTTTAAGTAGATATATTTATTGTTGAATAATACATCAAATTTATTTTGATACGGAAAGAGAATCTATTAATGTTTTTATATTATTTTTCTATTCGTATTGTAAATTCTTTTGTTATATATATGTTTATATGATATATGTTTATACGATACGTCTATATTATTATAAATTCTTACAGATACTTGTATGTTTATTCAAAGTTTTTAAATTTATTAATTAAAAATTATGTGTTATATTTATATGATAATTTGAAAATAAATTCGGCAAAGATGTGTAAAAGAAATTAAAAATAAAATAACGCTTGTTATTATTTTTTCCAAAGTATTTATTCCAACATAGATTATAGGTAATAAAAGGTAATATGAAACATCGCTAATGTAATTAATTATATGTGATTGGACACCGAAAATCTAGACAAGTAACTTATGTAACTCCATTGTTCATGATAATAATAATAATGAGACAAGAGGTAACAAAAGAGAGAGAGAGAGAGAGAGAGAGAGAGAGAGAGAGAGAGAGAAAGGAATATATTTATATATACAGATATATATAAGTCTAAATTTAATACCTACAAAATGGGATTCTAATTCCTTATACATTCGCCTAATGCAGGGAGTTAAAAACAAGTCATTGCACAAAGAAATCATTCTACTATTCGATTATAATTGCTAAGGCATATTTAACAATGTTATAAATAAGTATTAAGATTGGGCGCGTAATATTTTTTCCTATTCTTTTCTGTTCATCACAGGCCAATACATAAATTGGCTATTATATAATATATAGTTAACATATAACTATTATATAACATAAACTATAATTCTATACATATATGTATATATGTATAGGTATACGTTCCATTTTATAACGTCATATATATGATAATAGTCTTTGTATGGAAGCACAGTATGCGATGTATGGAGAGCCATTTAATCTAAGCATCAATTTAATCTTTTAAAATCAATTTATCTCTTGCATATAATTTACAAAATAAAAATAAAAATATTACTTTTGATTATAATCAAAGACCACATGTTATAGAAATACTTATATTACTCTAGTAGTATAAACATACTAATATTTAATATTAATTTTATAATAGAGAGAGTCATATGGCCAGTTGATTATAATTACGATTGATATTTTTTGAGTATGTGCCAATTCTATGAAATTGTTTATGTTCAATTTATTACAAGAAAAAACTGCATTATGAGTGTTAAAAATATATTGTGTGTGTGTGTGTGTGTGTGTGTGTGTGTGTGTGTGTGTGTTTCTATCATAAAATTACGAAACAATACCTATACGTATTGTTTCGTGTACCATAAGATAATAATAGACATATATAGTGTTTGCAATACATATAGCACCTTGTCGTTTACGGATTATAGATTTACGCGCGCATTGACATTGAGCATATTCATTATAACTCGATGAAAATATTAACTTAATAATTGTAAGTTATATACATAGGCTCGTCATTCGATGAGATTGCGACATTTTTGCTAATACATTCATAATTACAATAGGCAATAATTGACATTACTATTAGAATCTTGAGCGTTAACGTTTGTGCATCAATTATCGAAAAACGTTTCATTTATTTCCCATCGATTAAGTATAGTAGTATGTTAAAATATGTATTTTATAATTGCCTAAGAAAATATTTCTCAATATATATTCCATTATAATCATACCATCAGTATCATTCGCGTTTTGCGTAATTAAGCAATTTCGATCGTTATCGAATAAAATTAAAAATAATGGAATATTAGAGAAATATTGCGGATAAAATTAAAGACAATAATGTTACGCAATTGCTACAAAATTCTTGATAAATATTTTATTAATACATAATAGTTTAATAATTATCAGTTACGTGACATATGCATAAAAATGGCAAATAAAATGCTGATGTATGTATGCATACTGACAGATTAGATATTCGATGTAAAGAATAAACAACATTTTGCACCGATAAAATATATAATAATACGAACCATGTAGAAAAGTTCTAGTAAAATGATAAAAGGAAAGAGAACGTCGAAAAATTAGCTATGTACAAAAGCACATGGATATTTTACATGGATAATAAATTTGATTTCTCTCGGCATTATTAATCCACGATTGTCGTAGCGTCACAGGTCACATTAGATATCTATAAAAAATGTATCACAATATCATGACGTATGCGAACGAACAAATTCGTAACGAAATTAAATTATGTGAGCGGAAGTTACAAATTAACTAGTGTAGCAACAGAGTGCATTTTAATATAAATCGCGACGCTTTCCCTACAGTATTACATTATTGCACGACGATACAAAAATATTTCCAATATTTCCCATTACATAAAAAAGCAGTTTAAATATTACATTTAAAACTTTCCTTCGTTGCGAGTGTAATAATTAACAATCGATTGGTAATAAGTTATTCGATTTTTTTTATGTGACTTTATTTTACGAGAATCGATCGTTTTACACTCGAGTCGAGAAAGAAAGAGAGAGAGAGAGAGAGAGAGAGAGAGAGAGAGAGAGAGAATGAAAATTTAATAATTATATATATAATATATATTTTAAATATATTTTTTTATAAGATTGATCGTCATATAGAGTCTTCAATATAAATTACTATTTACAATATAATGGAAATACCTACTAATTATTCCCCTTTCTTGATCGCTAAAGATATAACATCGTAATTGCGATCAATGCAATTTTTAGAATAAATTGTTTGTGGGGGAATATCTTATTATATCTTTTTACATTTTAAGTAAAAAAATATTTCAAAAGATACATAAAAACAACAAAATTAATATAAATAATAAAACTATAAGAGATAGAAAAACTTCAGCTATCTCTTTTATTTATTAAGAGTAATTGCACTATTTCTAGAGACATAAAAAATATTATATGATAATTAATCAGACAGACCTAAAGAAGAATTCGAAATGACACTTCGTTCCATGTGAGAACAATCGAAAGTATAGTCGAAAGATTATTCGATCTTATGTATACCTCGATTTTATAAGAGATTGAGGAATTAAAGATTGTAAATAAAGGCGAACGATAACCCGTTTCGGGAACCAGGTTATATTTCATTAGATAAAGAAGAATTTGAATTAAAAAGTCATAAGATAAAATAAAATTTTATCTTCTAATCATTCTAATCTGCCTCTCATTGCGAGAAGAATCTATAAGTGGAAATACGGGGCATTTTTAGGGACATAAATTCACAGATACTTATAGTAATCGAAAAAATCTAGACCATCAAGGAATGAACGGATCTTCCACATGTAGTGTATATACAAGACATCACATCAACGGACGAAGAATCTCTCAGGAAATATTAACAAGATTGTATTCTCTAATTAGTTGAACAAGTAAAGTCCGCGTTATCGATTTCCTTCATCAAACGTAAACCTCGCCTCTCTTGCTACCGGTGACGGTCGTCGTAGCGGGTATGCTCGTAGATGACGTCGGAGACGTCGTGCTTAAGCTGCTAGACGCGCTAGTGCACGAGGCGGTACTGACTTTTCTCGACGCATCCTGGGTCTTTTGATTGGATTTAGAGAGATCGGGACCGAAACTGCTGGTTCTCGGTCGAATATCTTGATTATTGGACACGGTGGGCAACCTGTCCATGGTAAGACCGTCTTGCCTACTCAACACGGAGGCGATGCGATATTCTCTCGATTGCAATCCCGGAGATTGCGGTAACGACATACTTCTGTCGTCCCGACCTGGCTGCGCTGGTACCGGCGGACCAGGCAGCGAGGCCGATCGTCTGCCTCGCGCGTCTATCGCTATCGTTCTATTAATTTGAACTCCGGGCACAGCGGCGGTGACGACGTAGCCCAGTTTCTCGGGTCTCATCAAGATTGGCGAGCGATCGTTGTAGCCGTCGAAAATGGGTGAACTGCCGTTGCTACCCATCGGACTGTTGTTGTTGTCAATCAGTGGCGTCGAGCGATCTTCCTGGCCGGTGATACTTCCACTCCTGCTACTACCGCTTCCGCTACCTTCCTCTTCGCTGCTTGTCACCTCCGTCAATGTTGCCTGCAGGACGCTGTTACCCTGATTATTAACACGCGGCGTCGTTGTTGTCGCCGTCGTCATCAGACCTAATTGCGTCAGATGGCTCATGGTGACAGGTGTCAAAGTCACCGGCGTCATTAGACCGGCGCTGGTCAACGTCGGTGAAAGCACGGCCTGCGCTAAGGCCGCCGCGCCTGATTTTCCCGAACTGGGCGTGCTTTCGGTTTCTTGTATCGGCGACAACACCACCACCGACAAATCGGGATAGTGACCGTTCGCTGGTATCACGCCTACCACACCTGCGCCGATGTTCGTCGCATTGGACAAAGCCAATCTCTGTTCACGGTCGATCACTTCCTTCGTTACATCCGGAGTTGGTATGCGCGGTCTGTTCTTCAGGGATACCGGCACCGAGTTCAGCTTCGTCATAGTACCTGCAATTAGAAAAATAATCGTGGTGACCGTTATAGCGCGACGCTAGCTTGGTCGGATTAGTTTCCGGAATCGGGATCATTCCGAGGACGCGCGTGGAAAATAGGTAATGACGTTGTCGATTAAACTAACAACTGTAACATTACTCGGTTGAAGACCACGTTGAGCGAGCGTGAAAATGAGTTTTAGACCATTGCTTTGGCGCCAGGAAGCATGTCGAGTTACACTGACGAGAATATAATTACACGGATACTTTTGCGAATACTATCTTTCTCCTTACGAGAAAAGGGGAAGAAGAAATACAAGGACTTTGGAGAGTTTTTTCGTTGGATGTGAAATAACCACGGAAATTGCAGAGGTCACGCAAGATCAAACATTGCGTAATCTTGCGCGTACGTGGAAGCAATAAAGGAAAAGCTTGCGATTCTTCGGGGACTTTCTTTCAAGACGAGTCCGTGACTCAAGAGGAAAAAATCTTTGGAACGCCCAAGCCTTCTTCAAAAGCATATTAATAAGATAAAGAACATTTCAACATTAAGATAAAGAAAATTTCAGTAAAAATAAAAATATAAAATAAATACAAGTTTTTTGCACACTTCATTCGATAATTTTATGTAAGAAAAGAAAGGCACTCTTAAAGATTTATTTTGCTTTATTCTTAGAGAATTTATTTTTGTAATGTGCTTTAAAATTTAAACAAATATAATTAACAAAACATTGTTATATAATGTTATTCATAAATAAATTTTATCAAAGCAAATAGTTGTATAACATAAAACAAATTAGAAGATTGACATTTTACATTACAAATGTAAAAGCTTCTACGTACTTTGGCGACCCATACGCTGACTTCGGACGCTCTTCCGTCCGACGAGACGATCGTAGAGCGACATTTTCAGATTAGGATTATTTGTTTGTGGGAGACCACCGTTCTCAGGGCTGCTGTACACGCTATTGTGACGATTTCGTGTGAAGAAACCACCGCCGCTGCTATACGTAGTCGAGGAACTACGTATCGAACCAACTCGAGTGATCTGCCTTTGGAACCAGCCATTCTTTTTTCGTTCCACCAACGGAGTGTCCACACTTTCCTGATAAACACGCGAGATTTAGTATCGAAAGCATCGCAAAATTGTGTCAGAAAACAAATTCACATAAATCGACAAAAAAAATATTTGGAATCATAAATAATTGTTTAGACATCAGATTAATCTACGATTGCATAAGAGAGCGCATGTTAAAGTTCATCTAAAATAATTTTTTTATAATATATAAATAATTTTAGCACTTATAAACAATTCACTTACATAATCGGCGTACACATCGTCCTGATGAGTTTTACGATGCTGGCCGTGACTTTGAATCTGTGTGCCTAGCATAACGTTTGCGTAAAGAGCATCGCTTTCTTTCACTTTATAATGTTCCGCAGAACCTTTCGGTTCTTCTTTTCGATACTGCTCGCTGGCAACTGTGTACGGCAAGTCCTTAGGCACAACGTCGTCCCAGTATTGATCTTTTAAGAGCTCCGGATGTTCCTCGTGCATCTCATCAACGATCATGTAACCTGCCTGTTATGCGATAACGCGCAGTGACATAATGAGAAAAAATACATTAATATACGAATAAAAGAAAAGTTTTGAAATACATAGTAAAAAACACATTTCCATGTGCAAATACTTTGCTCTAATATATTCACTTTTCTATAAGTAAAAAATTGTTCAATAATAATGACTCATGGATCGATAAATCTCTTAAAACTTAATAATTTTGTTATAATCGTCTGTCTTGCTGTACCTTGATATGTCTGTCTATTAACCAGTTCAACTCGATATCGTCGTCATCTTCGCCGAAAGGATTAATGAGTACCTCCGCGACTTTCAGCCATCCGACGTAAAAACAAAACTGCAAGAATATACGTCAGTCTTATAAGAAGTCTTAAACATTATGCAGGAAAACTCCTATACGCAAACATTCCGCGATCAATGTTTAAAGATAATATCGTTCATTTTAATCACCTGCAGCGCTGTGAAAAACGGGAAATACATGTCCGGCTCCTCATACTTTCCGGTGCCATTGGATTGTTGGACGAATTGTCTGCCGAGTAAAGCCGAGAAAAAATAGGCGTACAACGATAGTGTTACCACCTGAAAATATATTGAGAGCTTCGTGACAAAGTTCTTATACTATACAGGGTGTCCCGTAACGCTTAATTAATATTTCAAGGTGTGAAAGAGAATGAAATTTTGAACTAAAAGTTCCTCTTTCAATTTTGGCTCAGACCATTATTTACAGAGTTATTAACAAATAAAGTTAATCAATAGATCGCGAAGAGCCGGAGTACGCAGGAGCGTAGCATGCCGTATGTGCGGCTCTTCGCGCTCACTTCATAGATGAATGTATGTGAAGTGAGCGCGAAGAGCCGCACATACGGCACGCTACGCTCCTGTGTATTCCGGCTAAACGCGATCTAATTGATTAACTTTATACGTTAATAACTCTGTAAATAATGGTCTGAGCCAAAATTGAAAGAGGAACTTTTAGTTCAAAATTTCATTCTCTTTTACGCCTTGAAATATTAATTAAGCGTTACGGGACACCCTGTATATCGCGATATAAAAGTAAAACACGTGGCGCGTGTAAGAACTTTTAAGAAGGAGCTTGTTACAATAGAAAAGATTAGCGTGTACTATAATTTATTTTGTTTCGTTAAAGAACAGTTGCTTTTAAGACGTGAAACGAGTCGCGGTAGAAAATTACTCCCACCGGAAGTCTCGAACTTCGTTAGACTTCGTCTTGTCGCTTCTTTTTTTCTGTGCCATGTATAAGTACAAGCAAACAGGTTTAATGAATGAATATCAAGGTCGTCGCGAACGCCGCCTTTCTCACTGAAGGTTATCAGGAAACGGTAGTTTACGCGAAAATATAGCGTGACTTAACTTGACATAAAAGAAGGCAACAGATTATTAATCCCGCGGGTGGACATGGAACATTTTGGAATCGCCACATCCGAAAGATTCCTCTTGGATGTAATGCGAAATCATTCCCGAAGGCGTGACGTATCGCAGAAAAATTACTGTTCAACTCTCTTGTCGACCTTGACCATGCAACATCGGCTTCGTGTTTCATGCACGTTTTATTATCCGCGCTGCATCCGTCGGTTAAAGTTTTAAAACGCCCAGAGGAATATTCCTTTTAATTAAACTTATTGTAATATATACGTACTGCGGTACATATATAAGCTATAATAACTATGCTCTCTCTCTTGTAAGCGTAAATATTAATATATTAAAATAAGACGTGCTAGAATTACATAGCCTTTCACAATCATTTTAATCGAGTCAAGTCTCAGGTGCATCAAATTACTTTAAAGTGCATCCTTTAATAATACAACTCTTTTTTAATAGAAGAAATATACGTATAAATTAAGAAGCACAAGAAATGTTTATTATACATATACTCTAAAAATGGGAATGTATTTTATGTCGAGTTTAAGTTAAACATTTATTTTCATGATACATGATACATCGTGGTTAAGGTAACGTCTGAAAATCGTTTGTTACAAGGATAGGCAAAAACGTTTGCAGTGTGTAAACGCCAGGCGAATGCAATAACAGCGAGCATCCAAAACAGGTATTAATCTTCGACGGATGTATCATTACGCGGTGAATACTCTGCGGTCGTTACGCGTAATCTTCTTGCGATTTCACGGAGTATGTCGAATCGCGCTATCGTCGTGAAAGAGATTTATATTGTGATTTATATATGAGAAAAATACCATATAATGCATCATGGCTTTTCCTAAATTAATAACAAGCTCGAATGATTTTAAATACTAAGTGTTGATTATCATTCTTTCAATAGGATACATGTATTTTTATACATTCTATTACATGTATATTTGTCATATTTGATATATGTATAAATGTCTACTATTTAGATATTCAAAGCATATTAAGCATGTGAACATTTATTATTAATAATAATAAAAAAATGTGTAACAAAAAGCATTTTCCGAAATTCGAGAGAAATATGAAACAATTTCTAACACAGAGTGCAGAGGTATGAGTAAAGCTTCTTGTCACGTTCCTCCAGATTTGCGAAATAATGCGGCGTTTAATTACTTAAAAATAGCTTTTGCACCAGATAATTAGGGAAATTAGTTGATGAGTAATTACAATTGCACAATGCATACATATTCGCTAATTGCAAATACGAAATACATCTTTCGGGAAGAAATCCCTCACTTTACTGTCTTAACATGTTTAAATGCATTGTCCTGAATTCCAGATAGAATGAAAGGCTTAGGTTTATGATGTAATGAAGAAAAAGAATAATAATGACTATACAGATAACGCCAATAGTTTGGCACGCATCATTATTAACAGGTGGATTAGGAAAATTGGAGTCATATTTTCTAGACAATTTTAATTGGTTAATAACAGTTATAACAATAAAACAGTAAGCAATATAATTATTGCTAAACAACTCATGTTCTTATAAATAATTTTAGCGATTATGCTTCAGTGTTATTACAAATATTTTTGCATACATTAATATGTATACCAAGTATAAAGAAACAATAATATACTTAACATGCATTATTTTAAAAGGCAACTTGTTTCAAATAATATTGGAAATATTTATGGCTAATATTTAGCAATGGACAGCGACAGACTTTTTCATTTAGTTTCTGTTTGATGTTTTATATTGCAAATAAAACGTAAATTATGTATTGGATACAGTTCTATTGAAGAATTACATAATAATGCGTCACTCCTGGCGCTTAAAAGCATGATAATGACATGACCACTAAAGAATAATGAAGACATTCACGTAACATATTCGACATCTGCCAATGAAGAGTGATACTATCGATAGGTAATATTTCCACGGTGCGCGACGCCAACGCGAGAAGGAATTAACAGAAAAACAAAAATAATATTATCTCTCCTCTCTCTTTTGCACGTGAAAGACGTAGAATAAATGAAAAATTACTAGAATTTCGTCTTCTAATCAAGAATTTATTTTTCTAATTAATAGGATTCATGAGCAGCGTTTACGAATTATTCATGGAAAGAACAATTTTGCTGAATTCAGATCTGAAGATAATTTTTGTTCAATAATCAAAATAATTTTGTGTGAAATGATTGCTCGAATATCAAAACGTTTTATAGTAATGCTTATCAGTTTTAATAATCCAACAAAATATTTTGACGATTTAACAAAAAATTATTTTCAGATTTGTATTCAGTAAAATTTTTAGATCTTTTAACAAAAACGTTCTTTCCGTGTTGTCTTATACAACTTTATTTGGATTTATTCGTAATTTCATTATATTTGATGAATTAATCAAGTCAGATATCCAATAATTTGATAATTTATAAAACTTCAATATTCAAATATTATACAATTTAATACCTGTTACATATAAATAAATGTTTATAATAATTAAAATTTTGTGAGAATTATCAGAATGAATTCTAGAGAAAAACTGGCATATTTAATTTGATTATAACGCTTCTAGACTTCACGTGAAAATACTTACCTGAGTGTAGACTAGAGGAACACAGACAGTATCGTAACCAATCAATGCACCAAGCCTCTTCCGGATGTCGCTGAGTTCGACAAGGAGGGTTTGCACTACGTGATCACTAGTAATCAGGGCCTCTTTCCTCGCCCTGTTGATGATATTGGTCGCCCAGACTAACGGCATCCAATACTTAGACATGGCCGCCTTCTTGTTCATCATCTCAAAGATTTTCTTCTCCGATTCCATCATCAGACCTAAGAAAATCGACGAGATTAAGCATGAGTTGCCTCGTTCCTTGCCCGACTTAAGCGAAAAACATTTCCGGACGTCCCAGCGAACTATGTAATTACACAGAACTTTCCCCGCGTGAGACGCTTGAAAAATTTCCTCGACGAGAGATACACGCGGGTGCTTGTACATTGTAAATCGCGATCGATATCACAGGGCAGTAAGTCAGCCAACTTGCGCCTCGTAATGCTCCGCGATCCTGCGTTAATTAACAAATCCATCAGCACGGTTCGTTAATCGGCAGAGAATTATCAAGCAATCAGTATCTTTCGCTTACTTTCGCGTGCGCAAGTTCTATGTAGAATAGATATATATTCGTTTGAGCTAGATGGTAAACTTGTGGGTGCGTACGTGAAACTGTATAAACTATACACTAACGCAAAACATGTCCATTGTCTGCGTAATACGTAGTTTCCTCGGAACCAAAGTGAAATCGCCGTTCAGACCAAAGTTCTGCTTTATTTCCTGATCAGTAACGCATTATACTAACAGTATCCTAAAGTTTTGCTGAATACCGTATTTTACGTAAATAAATTTTCATAGTCAAAAATCATATCTCACATTTTAACAAATCGTTTATTATTTTCGTATAAATTAGTTTTATTTTATACTATGATGAACTGTTATTATTCTGTTTCTATACATATTAAAGCATAAGAAAAACGTAGTTATACATAAATATATAAATATATTTATTCAATATATTTCTACTAAATAAAGTTAATAATAACGTATCGAGAAAACAAGTATTTGTATGTCATGAAAGAAGACACTCAATGTCCTCAATAGAAGGCATTGTTATAAGCGATTAAGAATTGCACAAAAAAGATCAAATGTTTGTTATCTGACTGAATAATAATTGCTGAATAATTATTTATAACTGGTGACGTTAGTTTGTCATAAATATATCGGACACGTTGTGTTGGACACGATGAAGATGGAAGATCGCGATGGAAGAGATAGGCATTTGGTTGAAGAAAAATAGTCATTTGATTAACCAATAAATCACCATCGTCGATACTGGATAGGTAAGAAGTCAATAACGTAACGACTTTCATGTGCAGTTTGCATTTGAAGGAAAATCGAGAGATCGTGATGTATGGAAATTACTTAAACCGAGATTATACGATATATGGTGTGTTCAATTTATTCCACACCAAATCTTAACGAGGAATCTTTCACGAATTGCCAGTTGACATCTTCCTAGTGAAAGTCAACAAAACAGATTATATTTATATATCTGTTCGTAATTATTTAAACATTTGCATAGTTCGAAATTCGGATGTGCATGTAACTTGTAACTTATAAGATATTTGAATATAACAATTAAATATTTTGCTTCTGCTTTGGCTATTTTCATATCGATGAATTAATATTTTCATAATTGAACTTATATGTATATTTTCTGATATATTTTCTTAAAAAAATTTTTTTTCTCTTATCTATAAACTGGACCATTAATTTCATAAATATGTATAATTATTATTTAAACAATAAAATAATGTAATTTCTTGCTTATTACAAACTAGCTTTAAAATGTAATTTTAAAAACGCATGATTTATCTTGTTAGAAGCGTATAGTTCGAAACTGGAAAAGCTTGTTCATCACACAATAATAAACAATTTTCTTGTCTCGATGATCAAAGTCTTTTATCATCGTACATTCTATAAATGTAGTAAATCTGCGATCAAACAAGTACATTGGACTTCTGTCTGGGAGCGATCGTAGTCGGAAACAAAAACTATCTTAAAAGTCACGGCGACCGCAAAGATCAGCCACTGGCTCGATTGGATACCCGGATCGAGTAACGGGAACATCGTAATTTTTCTCGGAGGTAGTCTTTTTATTGTTAGAGCAGAAAGGGTCGCGTTCGCACGGGCGTACATCCGTAACTAAGCTGGGGCGATGCCCGAAAAAATGAGGCAGCCTTGGCGCTGCGGGCAGCTATCGAAATAACTCGCGGCGTCACTCCGACAAGTCGTTGATCGAAGAAACCGTCTGCGAGATGAAAGACACTCCGGTGGAAACGTGTAGATTACTAATGATGGCACACGCACGCTCTTTTATTCAGCAGGCGTACTTGGATCAGGTACACACCTTAACAGCAAAAACTGACATAGAGGCAACCGGGCATTCAATTTAGCGCTTTACGTGATTTATATGCCTTAAACAGACAGCATTAAAATCTTTTTTTCATTTACGGTAGATTTTATCTTTCCATTCATCTCTCCCGCGAGATGTACGCTTATATGCATATCACGTACGTATGCTCGCACATGCTTAGCATGCATGTTTCAGCATCGTTCCTTTGATGCACTGTTTTAAGGATCGCACATTATCCCGTTTCTTTTTTTTTAGACATGTACTTGTATACGACGTATCCTTTGATGTACCGTTTTGAAAATCGCATTATTCCATTTCTTTGAACATATACTTGTGTATATACAAATCTGCTAAAACAATATAATTTTAATTTTTAAAAGAGGCATAAATAATTATTGCTTTCTATATAAATGTATAAGATATTTTATATAGAAACATTTATATAATATACGTATAATAAACTATTTATATAAACATAATAAATTGATGGACAAATGTGAAATAAAAGCAATTAAATATTCTATTCTCGTATCGGACTTTTAATCGAGAAATATATCTTGCATATATCTATACCTATGACGCTTTAACAAATACTAGTAAACATTCGCAGAATGTTTGAAATCAGTTTCTGAGTGATCGATCGGTTTGATATGCGATCAGTTCGCTCCATTCATCAATCGACCTTGATACCGATGTCACACAGTCACATGGTACACAATGAGCTCGAGAATTCACAGGCTTGTTACTGAAAGTAACCGCCGATAATTCATCGAGTGACTCATTCGAGTGCCGTGATGCGTTACTGCCAGCGAAGACCAAATATATCGAAACGAATATTAGCGGATCCTTTGCACAACATAACATTTAAAATAAGATAAGAAATAATTCAAATAATTAAACATAATGAAAAAGATATTATATGTATATATTTGCAACAATTAAAAGTAAGTACTATATATTTAAAAAATATATTTGTTTCTATTTATGCGTATTCTGTCACGTGATACACTTTGGTTTACGATTTCGACAAAAAATGCGTGGCGCCAGGTGCTTGAAAAATTTCGAAAGCGCCATAAAAATAATTTATATTCACTTTCACGGGTCGCACAAATTTGTGAGATGACATCCGCTTAATTCGCGCGTTGGTGTAAAATTTACCGCTCGAAGCGGAACGCCACGTGTGTCTGACGACATATTGCTGCTACTACTGCTGTCTCTAGGAGAAGAGCAAGAATTACTTAATGCCGTTAGTATCTGTTAATAGAAGCAAATCGACGCTTATTAGGAAAGCCCCTGACCGTACGTAGTTCTCCGACCCCGTAGTTGTTTACATTAAACTGTGGCTCGTAAATCATAATCATTGTATCGGTGGGAAACGGTATAGAGCGCTCGTTCGATATAAAACTCAATGCGCGTGTAATGAGTTTGAATCCGCGATCATTAAATCTGGATTAGCAGCCAACTTTCTTCGTATAGCATTTGCGCTTCGATCGATATAAATAGATAGATGATGTTGTAGAACATAAAATTATAGTCCGTTCCGATACATCAATACATAAGAAAAATATCAAGATATTCTTGGAGTCTAAATATATATGTAATAAATATCTCTATATAATTTTCTAAGAAAAATTAAGATAGAAAATAAGAGAGAAATAAGAAAAGTAAAAGAGAGCGAGTTAATAATTTTTACTTAAATATCTATAAACGTGCAATAGATTTAATGTAATAAATTATTTATAATCCATACAATATATTATCTATCATGTCTCTTAAATGGTCCTTAATGTATTTTTTTTATTTTAAAAGTTAAATTTCTATCAACTTAAGAATATAGCCGATGGGCAATGTTGACGCAAAAATTATAACATACGTAGAATTTTTATTTTGGAAACGAAACAAAGGATTTATTTTTCAAAGGTGATAATGCGGCGACGTGGACAAGATTTCATTTTAAATAATTGCATCCAAGCGCAGTCAAGTTTCGCAAGTCTCATCAAATAAAACGACTTCGACGATGAAGAAGTGGTTTCGTCCGTTCCCGGCAGGATGTTTACCTCCCGGGACCATTGGCTACAAATGTGGATGAGCAAGCTCTGTTAGGGTACAAGTACAACAGATCCGCAGAGAAGGATGCACGATAGGGGTCAACAAACGCAGGGATCCTTGCTCCGCTGGCAAGGTCGCGATAGAAATAAAAAATAAGCCGTGTTCTCTCGGTCCTACCCGTATCCTTGCCAGCGTGCCATGACGACGCTGAAAAGCACCTTCGGAGAAAACCAGTCGGCCGTCCGGTCCGTAACTCCTTAAGCATAGTTTACAACGCAAGAGCCCGCGAATGCGGATGTATCACGTAAAAGTGTCTAAGATCTCGACATTGGGACATTCAAATTGATATAGTGGTATCCGGGTGTTGTATCAGGTTTTTTATCGTAGAATAACTATCGGCAATAGAAAATTTGCGCTTTGAAATGAAAAATCATTTCTGCTTGCAATTGTTTAGAGAGAATAAGTGTCTAAAATAACGGAATTATGTGTCTGTAAAAAGATATCTGTGAAAAAAGTATTAAAAGAAGTCAAGAATATATCATCAAAAGCAATACAGTTATCAGTTTAAAAGAAAAATTTCTTATACCATTTTATGCGTTTTAAATAAATTTTAATTCCATTCAGATCTTATATTACGTTAGATCTTATATCAATGCATCTAATGTGACGTAATAGAAAAATGCTTCATACATATGAAATGTGTTACCACTACTAATGAGTAAATTTGCTCAGACTTTTACAATTTTTATTATGAGAAACAACGGAAGTAAAAGAAAAAAATTAACCAGTAATTATTAAAATTTTGCCAGAAGC